CTACCTGCATCCCTCAAGTCTGGGAGGCTTTTCTTTGGTCCAAAATCCCACTGCACACAGTTAAGCTCTTGCATGACAGCATTAGAGGAAGGAATGAAGCTGTTCTGAAGGCAAAGAGTGTCCCTGTTCTTTATAGGGTATTATACTGAGTGGTGTTTCTGTTATGTTGGAAACCCAATGTTTATCTACTATTACGTTTTTATTAAATTGATCATTTTTTTTTTATTGTTTTAATTCTAATCAACTTTGTCTTGTGTTCTATATTTTGTGTTGTACTGAATCCCTTAATTCATTTGCATTATATTTTACAGTGACGACTATTACACTCTGGACAACGCCACCTCTGAATACACCTATGAGTATGACTATGAGGATTTTGCACCATGCAAGTATGACAGACACAGCGCTGTTTTCCTGCCTGTGTTTTATTCCCTGCTCTTCGTGTTCGGGGTAATCAGCAATGGCCTCGTTGTGTGGGTCATGTTGATGTCTGTGAAGCTTCAGAGCATCACAGACATTTGTCTCCTGAACCTGGCTGGAGCGGATCTTCTGCTACTCATCACCCTGCCCTTCCTGGCCCACTACTCGAGAGCGGACTGGGTCTTCGGTCCTTTCACGTGCAAAGTCGTCATGAGCAGCTACTACATTGGCTTCAACAGCAGCATCTTCTTCATCATAATCATGAGCATCGACCGCTATCTGGCTGTAGTTCATGCAGTGAGTTCCCTCAAAACCAGAACACGCAGATATCAAGCCATCATGATTGCTGTAACCTGGATCGTAGGACTTTTGGCTTCATTTCCTGAAATAACGCTCATTGATGTTCATTTACAAAATCACACAAGCTTGTGTGAAGTTGGTTATAAAAGTAAGGCACACCTGAGAGCATTTGGCCTGTTTAAAATGAATGTGACCAGCCTTCTGATTCCATTTTTCATCATGGTGTTTTGCTACTTGATGATCCTGAGGAGAATACTCCTCTGCAAGTCAAAAAACAGGACCACTATACGTCTTGTGGTGGTGGTGGTCATGGTGTTCTTCTGCTGTTGGACCCCCTACAATGTTGCATCTTTCTTCCAGGCACTAGAAGTGCTCAGTATCTACACAGCATGTGAATCCAGCAAAGCCATTCAGTTGAGCCTGCAGGTGACGGAGGCTCTAGCCTACTCCCACACCTGCTTGAATCCCATCATTTATGTCTTTTTGGGCCAGAAGTTCAGGAGGCACCTGTTTAAACTCCAGAACAAGATGCCATGTATGTGTGAAAAGTTTATGATTTCCACAGTCACACCACAGCTATCCCAGACAAGCAAGACTGAACGGTCCAGAACAACTATGAATGTCACTTCTGTTTAAAGGAATTCAGTATTATTGTTCTTCTTACTATTATTTGTCATGACCTTCTCCTACGATCCTTCCGTATGCCACGCCCCCTCATTACCTTGTGTCAATTCCTGATTTTATGCAGCTGTTTCCTATTATTTCTGAGCAGTCCTGTGTATTTAGTCCACGTTCAAGTCTGTTTCCCCAGTCCGGCCATTGATGTTGTATACCGTCTGTACCCTGCCTTGTTGATTCTGCCGTAATAAACCCTGTTTCCTGGATTCCCTTCTGCCCGATCCTGATTCCCCCGCTCCCTGCTTGCTCGCCCGACACGCGATCATAACATTATTATTATTATTGTTATTATCAATTATTATGACAGTTGTAACATATTCATGTCATACTGTATATTTACTATTCATATATTTTCATTACAGTATAACCCTGTTCTTTACTCGAATGGTAAGAAATAATTTCAGTTTTCTGCATAATGGAAAACTAGATTTCACTTTGTTCATTAAGAACATCCATGTGATTCTTCTTCATTAAATAAAAAACAGATTTCTACTCTGTTTGCAAGTTCTAGGTCTGCATTATGTCAGCAGATGCCTGAATATTTGAATAGATCTCAGCTCTACCCACAGAACTTGACAAAATTAGAAAATCTGCCACCCAAACACTATGAATTTGCTTGAGTAAAGCCTTTTGTCTTTACATTTCCTTTCATTTAGCAGACACTTATCTGAAGTGACATATAACTACTGTCATGACTATCTTGTGATTTGTTCTGCTCTGAAACATAAGCAAGCAAGAATGTATGCTATGTACATTACACTTCATTACTAATTTTAATGATTCTTTTAATCAGGGGACATGATCCAGGTCTATAAGATTCTAACAGGTTTAGATGCTGTTCAACCGAATAGTTACTTCAGCATTAGTTCAAATACAAGAACTCGTGGCCATAGGTGGAAATTAACGGGAGAACATTTCAAACTGGATTT